TAAGGTATTATGTGACGAGGCGCCGTTAAACTCGTATGCACTAAAAAATAACTCACGTTGCATTTACGAGTACTTAGAAGCTCCTTTTTTTTCATCCTTTTGCGCTTCGGTGCAATGGGTCAGTTGCACTGGTCACAGAATTTTGTTTTGATGCTAATTCTCAGTGAACAGCTAAAAATGATAAGATCTGTCTAAACAGCAACTTTCTACGTCCAATAACCGAGATATCGCGTTTTGAAAAATGCGGTTTGTGACGACATCCACCGAGGTAGTGGCACCCTCGGTTTCTTCCACCTTGCTTTCATCAAATTTTCACGTTGAATAACCAATGAAAATGAGCGTCTCTTTAACATATGAAACCAAGATGGAAGAAACCAAGGGTTTCATCGCGGTGGATGACGTCATGAACCGAATTTTTCACAGCGGAATATCTCGTCTAATATTAAACGTAGAGAGTTGCTGGTCAGACAGCTCCTTTATTTTTAGCTGATGTACACTGAAAAAAAACACACTGGATCTAGAGTTCAGACTCTTGAAAACATTGACAAGAATAAGGACTCTTGATTATATCAGATTTAAGCTTAAATCAAAAGGAAATCCGCTCAAATTAAGAGTCTTGGTTCTTGATTTAAGCTTAAATCTGATTGAATCAAGAGTATTTTTTCTTGTCGATGTTTTTAAGAGTCTGGACTCTAGATCTAATGTGTTTTTTTTCCAGTGTACAAGAATCAATAATCAAAACACGATTCTGCGACCATCGCAACTAACCCATTCTCAGAGCTCGTGGGAACATTTTCGCCTCATAACAAAGCAAATACTTAGCATGTTTGTAATGTAAGAAAATAGATCTCTTTCCTTCAATCTACGGCGAAATTAGTGTTAGTGCGATGGGAACACGAAGCATTGCTCCGAACCCGACATTCCTGGAGCAAGACGAGTCTGCTGACCCAGTACTCAAATTCGGTAAGCGACCGCAGAGCAGAATCTGGGTCTGCAGCAATTTGGGCCCTCCGAGTTGGCTGCGTAATCGCTGACCAGTTGTGCTGGGCTCATTTTAAATCAATAACCGGTAACTCGGTTGCGTTAATAACGGGGTTACCGTCGCGTCTGATGATTGCTTTATAATGGTGTGTAGTGCACCTCTAAAAGCTTCTCGTTTCCACGGACTGAGGAACAATACCGAGAGTGGAATCAGAATGTTCACGAGGAATGTCTCTAGCCGTGAGAAATGAGAATGACCTCTCAGCGCGGGCTTGAAATTGGCGGAAATATATGCGTCAGAGATCGAGGGAAGCTTGAAACTTATGATCCCTCATTGAAATAATCGAGGCGCTTTCAGGAGGATCAATAATAACGAATAATGAAACTAGTGCATCTATTAATGATTCCTTCCTTTATTTTTACTATATAACTTCAAATTACGCAAGAACGTGATCAATAACAAATAATGAAACTAGTGCATCCATCAATGATCCCACCCTTCACTGGAAAAAAAAAACCAATTGGATCCAGAGTCCAGACTCTTGAAAACATTGACAAGAAAAAACACTCTTGATTCAATCGGATTTTTGCTTGAATCAAAACGAAATCCGCTTAAATTAAGAGGCTTGGTTCTTGATTTAAGCTGGATTCTGATTGAAGTACTTTTTCTTATCGATGTTTTTAAGAGTCTGGACTCTAGATCCAATGTGTTTTTTTTCAGTGTTTAATTCAATTATATATCCTCAGAAATTACGCAAGAAAGTGACAAAATTATGGCCTGGCAATGTCTGCTCGCTACAACAACAAACTATTTATAGATCTTTAACTTATTGCGGTTTGCACAGTTTAAAGAAGCCTCAACCTACATTTCTTGTTGAAATCTGGAGGGGAGGAGTTTAAAGAGAGGAAGATTTCATTTTTTAAAATTGGGTTAAATTTTATAACTATAAGCATTGCGTGTGATGCTCTCATTATTCAACAAGAATCATTCATACATCGATATGGCTTGCTTGTTATCACAACTTTGCGGTTACGATACGATATAGACAAAAAGTTGCATCCTCTCGTTATTCCTGGCACCTCGCACCCAAGCTGGACACCTAATCATAACATCAAACATTTCTCGCTTACACAGTTATTTCTAGATTACACGTTTTGGAGATTAAAAGTTGTTGATTCCTGATTCGAAAAAGATCAATTTAAAAATAAACTGGTTCTTGAATAGTTTTTTTGAACCATGTAGACCACTTGCGTATTTTGTTACGTTTGCACCTCCTATTTCTCACATTTTCGCTCTGCCTATACCCGACAAGTCAAGCCTCTGAAGCAGCAGTCACGTGGAAATTCCTGGGATTTGCAAACATAATTCATCATCTGCGAAGTGCAGATTGTGACAGAGGCTGAATCACGTAAAACAAACACACCGCACCGCCGGTGTCCGCTAACTCCAGAGAGGCCAGGGTTCGATCTAGTTTTCTCACACATTTTTGGTAAAGGGTCAAGCTCAAAACTACGTTTGTTTTTCTAGGACATTTTTGGGATAAACTCACGTTTTTAGATACTCAAAGAATGAGGGTCAGGAATAGATCGAAATGGAAAGTATTACATTTTTTTTAAATTTCATCCCGCCCTTCGCGTAGACATGTATTCAAATCAGTGGTTCAAACATTCATAAAGTTTTAAACGATCTGTTAATATGCAGTTTTCGTATATTGTTTTATGGGGACACACAACATGCAAGAATCAGCTACAAATGACACGTTCATGTGATGAAAAATTATTAGCCAATTTTTCCCAGACCTAAAACGTACTTTTTTGAAGGAACTGTTCCTTTGAAGACTTTCACTGATTTCTGTCAAAATCATCATTATGGACAAAGATTGGAACCAACAAATACAAAATTCATCGCTGATAGTGCAATCGAGTCAATATCACATATTTATGAATAATTTCACGGTTGACAATTTCGACGAACAAACTCTTATAATGTGGAACTAAGGGAAAAATAGTACATCATATTTTACTTCCTACGCGGCTGAACTTTTACAAATTTTTGATTTGCCATCTTACAAAAAACGGTTTTTATTAAATTTTGTCCAGTTCGATCTAAAAAACTCCGTTATTTCTTAAAACACTCATTATTAGACGCTCTTTACACAAAGGTATAGTGCAGTATAGATGTCTCTGTTTTGAGCAGAAAACTTCATTACTTTTGTCAGCATGGAAGTTTATCAACTTATAGAAATGTATTATTTAATGTGACTTTTTTTTAATAATGACTGATCCTTCGATCTTAAATAAACAACTTAGTTTGATTTTTAAAGACTATGAGCTTACGTGAAAAAAGAAGTTTCGTAATATTTGTGTATGCATGCATCTGGAGTGCTGTATTTAAAACTAATTTTTCTCTCAAGTTTTAGCAAGTGACAAGCTTTCAAGTTGAAAGTGTTGTATAATAATGACATAAATATGGGGAACCCAGAGGAAAATCGTAAGTGTAATAAGTATAAATCCCGACATCAACGATTCACAGATTTACGAAATCAACAGTTCTATGCAGCCTGACTGAGAGTGGTATGATCACAGCTCTTCAAACATTGCGAAAAGAGTAACATCACCACTAAACTTTAGAATGAGCTATAGATACGCTAGTGAAACCCCCAAACCATGTTTCTCGTCCGCGATGTTTAAAAATCTCCGCTCTTATTATATCTTTTAAAGAAGAACAAATTTGTCAACACTCCTTTACGTTTTTACATAATTTGCTTCGCACAGAGAGGAAAATTCGTCGAGGTTTTTAAGAATTAACGTTGAATGGTTTTCAATTGAAAAAAATAAAGTATGACGGGAAGTCTGTAACGTCGCAACCCGAACTAAGTGGTTTGAAAGTTTCACAGTCGATATTTATTTAAGTTCGAGTCCTCGTTAAAATAACGTAATATTCTTGGTATCAGTGTGACACTAAACACTGACAGTGACTCTAACCTAACTTTTTCATGTTTTTCTCTTTTTAGGTTATTCAAAACTTCAAGTTATTGCTGGAAATAAGCACAAAAATAAAAACAATGCAGTAAGATCTGAATGAAGTAAACATTTAAAACTCGCAATTTCAATCAATCTCATTGAAATGAAGCAGTTCATTATTGGCAACATCTCGAAGACATTTGAAATTTATCCGGGATCAAATTGCAACAATTCAAGTATATATAGAGAAAGAAAAAGCTTGGAAAATAAAGCGTATACACATAGCAGACGGAATGAATAAAGTTGTGTCACCAATGAACAAGGTTTCAAGCGGTCAAATCGGTCATAAGATTGATTTTCATTGCATGGAATATTACAGCAGTCGATTGCTCATCGCACGTTAAGGAGCAAACATTAAAAACACATGCAATTAACTGGGTGGAAAAGTGAAATACAACCGAGCATTACTACCGAGCCACAACCGAGCATTACTATTTTACTCAAAATCACGTGCGTTACCACTTTAATGTTGTCCCAATGTCCCACCTGGTCTGAAATACGGTGATAAGATGCAATTTTCCGACATTGTAAGTAATTTGAATTCACGGTCGAAACATAGCTCCATTACATTTTCCTAACCTAATGGACATTTCATCATCATACTCTCGCATTTACTGTTAAAACTTCCGATAAGTTAACCTGTCCGTTTAGTATTCCCGGAATTAAGTAACATAGTTATCGAACGTAAAGAACCCCAGTCTCCACTTACTTACAACTATCTCTAATTGGACGACACTGTCATAACCTACAAGTATACGAGCAATAAATCGCGTGAATTAAAAAATATATTGGAAAACAGAGCATGCTGAGTGAGGGTCTCACAATAACTTACGTATACTACGGGAGACATGCAAGAGAACTAGGATACGTATCACAAAAATCCGAGGTAATGAAGAGTTTGGCCTGACGTGATGGACGCCATAAATCACGTGGAATCGGAGAAAATTGGGGTATCCGAAAGCGGAAAAAATGATGAATGAACGAGCGAGACTTACGGGGATCGGATCCGAAACTGGAGTGGCGCTGCGGGTCCAGGCAGAGCTGCGGCAGAACTCGGTGACAAGTAGCTGAGGGCCTAATTTCACTAACCAGAAAAATATTAGCGGTAATCACTCGCTGGGGAACAACTGCACTGCAAGCGTATGTCTCTCAAACAGAGCGAGCTTAAAGCTACGGGTTTAGCATACGGCTTCTGTGGTTTACCGTCCGGGCTGGGGGCAAGCTTCTGAAGACCGAGTCCGGGAGAGATCACCCAGCCCCCCTCCCCCCTCCTCCGGGCGAGCCGGGCACCGTGGGAAATACACAGTAGCTAAGTCCCGCCTCTGCCGGGCTCCATCATTGGATGCTGCTCCAGCAGTGGGATGCTGCGGCTCCGGCCCTCTCCGCTCTCCCAGCATCTCGCGTCTCGCTCTTCGCCGGCCCTCCCTCTCTAACGCACGCCGCCGCGTTTTCATCCCTCTTCCTCTCTTGCGTTACGCTCGATTTCCACCGTAAACGCCCGAACCTCCGTGCTTCTTCCCGCGCCGCACAGTGGATCCAGTCAATTGGATAAATCGGACCAAATTTGGAAACTTTAAAAGCTTATACCTCCGTTTATACGAAACTTTGAGGTTCTAAAAGTACTTCCACTGGTTTTCTCGTGAAATTTTCTCTCGGAAACACCCCTTAACGTTGGAAATATGACGAAATAAATATAAAAATTTGCATTTTAAGTCGAATATTTCATGTCCGGCCTCTCCAATGGACTCGATCCACTGCGCGGCGCTCCTCGAATCCGCGCAAGTTGGAACTTGTTGCGCCACGCCGCGGCGAACCGACCAATCGCGAGCTCCTTCTTGTCGCTGGGATCTTAGACAGCCTTTGTCTTTCCATTCTTCTTCTTCTTCCTTTTTTGCGACTTTTTTGCGCGGCGTAATGCAGTTGCTCCCGTTGTTGTCGGCTCTGAGATTATTCCTCCTTTACGTGACGTACTAGTCCGTGGCGAGGCATGAATGATCGCTTAGCGATATCTCCCCATTTGAAGCTATGGTTAAGAATCGATTATTAAGGAGCGCAATGCAAACCCCTTGTTTATCGATCCTTGTCCTTAGGTTTGAATGGCAGATCAATCGATACATCGCAAAGTACGCCACGCCACTAGTGTATGATAGTGCCGGCGGATTGACATCGAGGATCAACTACAACAATCTCGATGATAATCAAAAGATTGAAGACTAGAAGTTATGCCTGTAGCTAAGTGAATTTCTACACTTTATAGCTCAAATATAAAATACTTGAAAACAAACAAAACAAAACAAAAAAGTTGACGCATAAAGCCCTTTATTTTCAGCTATGAATATATGTTACGTACTGAATTTGTATTAACTCATTACCGAGGAGATAATAATTAAAACGTTTCACTCGGCGTGCGTAATGACAAATTTGAATCAAGACAATTCAATGAGATCATATTTTAGATCATCAAACTTTAGATGTTACACTACTTAGAAAGTACAAGAAAATCTATTAATAATTTTATTGATTGGATGATTTCGTTGATTTCTTCCTTCAGAATTCACATTAAAAAATATTCAAAACTCATTCGAATCGAATGTACAGAATTCAGATAAAGCGCACTCTTTGGATAACTTTTTAGGGAATTCGAAGATAATCAAGGAATAATGTGATAAAGAAGATTTATTCTTTTTTTAAATAATGTGGAATATGTAATAATAAAATTACTAAGGCCTTTCTCGAGAAAATTGTCCATTTTTTCTCCACAACCTTATTGCTGAAAACCAGATTGCATTTCAATTGTATTTCTTTAAAACACATTGCTTTTACAGGTTTGCAAGTAGGATGGTTTTGGCGAGAAACATTTTTTTTAAGAGACTCTCGTTAGGAACAAAACACGAATGCATTTTGGTATCCTTGACAGAGGCGGGGGATTGGATGACGTCGCAGTCGAATGAGTGTTTCAAAAAATATAATTTGCAATTCCCCATTTTGCAATGAAACCTTAATTCCCTGAAAAGCGAGTATGCCACACACGTCTGACAACCATACATTTTCCAAAGGATTTTAAGGACTGCTCCTTCATCAGCGATTCCTTCATTCTGGACACATCAATTTAACTAAAATGATTCCGGTCCAGACGCACCTGGGGCTATCGAGCCACACCTCTGTTCCCCATAATAACTCGCCCTGCCAAGACGTATTGGGGCAAGAGTTGCCAATTGTCAAAGATGTATTTATCTTCCCCGCCATTTTTCGCTGTAATTTTGTGAATTTTACGGCAGTAGGGTTGATCTAAAAGGCTTTTAATTGTGACGTCCGACCATAGATGCGCGCTTTCAATCGCCCAATCTAACTCGATACTTCGTCCCGGCTGCGTGAAACCGTTTGATGATGGGTCGTGGTCGATGACTTAATGCTTGGTATATAGGGATCATCGAAGCGGTCGAAAAATGACCGGTTCGAAAAACGAACTTCAATGGGATCCTCATACTTTGATATACTTATGAGGATGATGGAGTGATGGACGTCATGCCTACGGCACGAACTTGAATTTATATTTATATTTATGGCCTTATGGTAGCTGATTGGTCGCACTTCAGTCTCTTCGTTCGTATTCGGGTGGAGGGAAATGAATGATGGTCTTGTAGTAGCCTATTGCGGGAAATCCAAAGAATAGTCAATAATTTATTCTCTCCTCATACCGTAATTTTCTGGAGATTGAATCGTCCAACATTCGAAACGTAAACCGAAGTTTAGTAGGATACTGGAGCTTTAAAAGGCGTTGACATACGCTTTTTAAATTGATAAAAATTGTAATGTTAAAAATAACGATAAGAAAAAACTGCTAGTTTTAGGTTCCTCTGACATAAATACTTATTCAAATTAAATGAGCTTTGTATATTATTGAAAGTCCCCCCGGTTATATATCGAAGAGAGATAGATGAAGATCGAGAGCTCATTTCGAGGCGAGTGATTAACATAGACTGATTTTGGATTCAACAATTAGCACGTGAAAATCTTGCTTCCTTATTGGTCAAGAAGCACATCACGTCTTATCGTCTCGCGACTAATTCGAAGAATCAGTCTTCATCATATGAGTATTTTATACACTTTGAAAAAATAGTAGATCTTTAATTTTTAATCGTATAAAGACTTTTAGAAGAGAAGATATTGGTTTTTTTAAATGTTTACTTTGTGAATCATACCTGTAATGGTAGGGTTAATTGCCAATCCAGCATCGCTTTTTTTGCACTTGAATATTCACATGTGACAATGGCTAAATTCTGTTGCTAAAACGTGTTCAGTCGAATGGAGGAAAAATACACGCGTTGCAAAGAAAAATAGAAAGGAGAAGACTTTTCGTAACGGAACGACAACACATCCAATATATTGTTGCGCAGCAAGCTTTAATGAGTCGAGAGACACGATAAAAGCTTGGAGACTTAAACCAATTGGTTTGGGAAAAAACCAATTCATGGCGTGAAAATTCTCTATTTTTCCAGTCTGGTTGTGCAAAGTGACCATGGATGAAAAATATTTCCTTGTCCTCCACTTTCAATGATTCGGAAAACACACAGAAAAGCTTGGAGACTTAAACACGAGCATAGAAAAGTAAACCATTTAATGACGTAACAGCTATTCGTCCGGTCCAGTTGGTCATGGTAGCCATGGCGAAAAACTGTTATTGTGCAACACAATTTAGTGCGTCTAGAAACACACAGAAAAGCCTGGAGACCTAAACATGAGCATAGGAAAGTAAACCATCTACTGACGTAAAGACTATTTGTTCAGTCCATTTGGCAATGACAGCCATGGTGAAAAACTTTTCTTGTTCAAAACCTTTAACTGTGAAGAATAAACTAAGCATTATACTACCTAATAACTTAACAAACTTGAAAAAGTGCAAAATTAAAATCTCTATTCATTACGAATATTTGAACACTTATTTATTATTTACTTTTGTTTCCCCAGTAACGAATTATTTCTTAATGTTTCTGATTCTCGCTTTCTCTCTCCCTCTATTTTTCTCCTCTCTCGTTGTTTTTAATTTTTTCTCAATAAAGTAATTACGAAGAGGGGTAGATTTAAAAAAAGAAAACACCACAGACTATTACAGGAGAAATTTTTAAAGCTAAAAAGTTGATCATCCTTTATTTCAGCAAGTATGCAATTTGATTTCCAGGGACGTCAATCTAATTTTATGAAATCAAACAATTTGGAATTTATACGAATTATTTTGCTTACTAAACATGTTTATTCGTTCCTATATCTTGAGTGCGAACCTAGTATTATCCTTTTGTTTTTGAGACACCAGGTCTCTCCTGGGGACAGATATTGATATAAAATGGAAGACAATTCCTACCCCAGTACCCTGGCCGTGGATCTTTCCGTGTTTGGCTAAGAGTAGGAAGAGACTCAAAGCTTTCCAGATTCATTTTTAACTGATCGTGATCCTGAACCATACAAAATTGCCGAACTTCCCTGAAATTTGGTGTAATATAAGACCACCCATTTTAATAAGCGTACATAAGGTCACTATTAATGAGCAAAACTTTTTTGTAATTCTCCTTGATAGAAATCCGAACGAATTATATCATACATTTTAATAAAACAATAAGTACAAAGATTACATGAAAATAAAGGAGGTCACATCCTGCATTGATCTGTCAAAACGATTAGCTTTGAGTTCGAATCAAGATTTTAATTCAAAATTGTGAGTAATTTTTCGAAAAATGATTTAAAGCTTGTAGATTAAATTGCCTCCCAAAAAATTTTGATGACATTACGTAATAGCACGGAAATTCGTGCTACAAAACTCATCAGGAAACATGAAGCCTTTACACTATTTAAAGGTTGGATACTTTCATAATTTTTTTCAAATAGTCTTCGCTTGACGCTTTCAACAATAGCTTTGAAAAAATTCGGCCTTCTAAACTTCCTAATTTATTCATGAGTTTTCCTATGTAACTTGACAAATTCTCCAAAGCCACGCGACCGAAAAAATAAAGGGACTCTTAAATTAGTTAAACAGAGAGTTTGCAACTTTAAAATGGCGCTAAGCCACTTAAAATTTCAACTAAAAGATTCAGTGGTCCTAATATTTGAAAATCACTGGAAAAACAATCAAATCTCGCAAGATGAGTTCATTTACATGGTTATCTCGTAACACATTGATAATTTAATCCGCATAAAAAACAATTTTTAAAGGATTTTTCCG